TAATTTGTTGTTGTTAGTTGCCATCCAGTCAGATCTGACTTATGCGGAATAGAATGAAAAACTGCCTGCCTGGTCTGTACCATCTCCATGTGATAATTATGGGCAGGCAAAATCAGGTTCCTAGCCTGCAAATCAGAGGGAAGATACTGGGCCATGCTAAAACCATAGGATAATCAGATATCTTGAAGAAAGACCACCAACCTTAATCTGGCAGGCATATACTTTTGTTATTAGTTTTCCTATTTTATTTAATTTCCATAAATAGCTCCATTAAAGTCAGTGAGACGATCAAATGATAGAATGCATGTATAGCATCCAACATTACAGGTTATTAGATAAATGTTAGTCTCTTTCTATTCTTCCTTCTCCAAATTATTCCAATTCTAACTTGAAAAGAATGTTTCCCTTCTTAACAAATAATTGCTTGAGCAAATACCAGAAATAAGAATTTATAATTGGAAACACAAAGCAGGAAAAAAGAATGAGTCATGTTTTTATACCTAAATTTATGGTATAGGCAGTTTACGCTCTGACATAGCACAAAGATACTTTCTATTTGTTAGAATTGTACTATGAGACATTTACAAGAATGAAGACATACCGTATAGTAGGAAATCAACTCAACATTATTGAATAAAATGACTGATAACTTGTAATAGAAAATATTCCACTGATAATTTATGGTAAAATCTAGATTAAAAAATAAATTATTTTGAATAATATGGAGGGAGTTTATGATCTTCAGTTTACCATGTATTAAACATCTGGAATCTATAAAGATAAAAAAATGTTGTATAGCTTTATTTCCACATTTTATGAATTTTACTGATCATTATTCTAATGAAAAATAAAAGAGTAATCTAAAAAATGAGTTACTAAGCTAGTAAATTGTATCACTATAATGAATGATAATAGAGGTATTTTATTAAAGTTGAAGATCCGTGTAATTTATTACCAGATCCTCTATTGATAAAGCTCGTAATTAACAATCAGAGAAGTAAAATTCACCCAGAACTTCATGTACGTTTTCATTTCTACTTAAAAATTTAATTTACTGTAGCGCTACCTGATACACCACCATCCGAATATAGGGAAACCCAATGGGACATATTATTTAGTATTACTTTCAAACTACTAAATTCAACCATTATACAAAATCTATAGAGCATAGAGAATAGAAGAAAAGCTCTATGATAAAAAATAAAATAGACTACATAACATACACCATTTTAAATGTCTCATACTGCTTTCTATCTGTTATGTATAGCACACGCCTCTCCTTTTGTCAACCCACAACAGCTTTCTGCTCTCTTTTCTTATTATCTGGATTTGATCAATCCTCTTCCTCTCTGTCCAGAAAGATATTGTTCCCACATATATCTCTCATCTAACTCCAACACTCACTAAACCCATTCTTCTTCTCTGACTTTCTAATGACTGCAGGTTTCTGCATCTGAAAATAAATCCAAGCCCGTCCTTTATAGTAAATATTGTCTTTTTACAAAAATGCTTTCTCAGCCAAAGTCTTCAATGTGCTCCGTATCTGCTCTCTCCAACACAGGCAGTTCCCGGGTTAAGAAAAAGACCTTTCTTAAGTATGTCTTTAAGTTGAATTCGTAGGTAAGTTGGAATAGGTACATACGGTTCTTACTTAGTGTCAGTTAGTCAAATGTTTGTCTTAGTATATAGTAAGTATTCATCACATATGCCCTTTCTTACCCCTCTGAAAAGTGGCTTACTTATCTACCACTATCAAAATTGCATCCTCCAAGAACACTATGCTGGTCAAATTTGAAGGCCTTCTCTCTGACTTGAGCTTCATTCAGCAACAAGAGTATCTGACTCTGCAGATAATTCTCTTCTTTTTTGGCTGTTCCTCCCAGGGCTCTCTGCTGTTGCTGTTTAGGTCCTTGGGCTTTCTTCTCTTCTCTTGCTCTGCTTTCCATTGGCCACTTGATAGCTTCAACTATCAACTTTGTGTTTATTATGTTAATTACTTCAAAATCATTTTCTCAGGTCATTGTCTTGCTCCAAAATTATTCTAGTCTGTATTATTCTACTACCTATAAAAAGCTCATTGGCAAGTCAGTATTTCCCAAAATGAGCTCACCATCATCTTCTTTCCCAGTTGTGGTCTTGCTTCTAGGTTTCTTAAAATACAATGATATCAGCACCACCTCCCAGTCTCTTATACTTGAAACTCTGTCATCATCTTGGGTTCATTTATCTCTCTTACTCCCTTATCTCTTCAAATGCCGAATCTCATTATTTTTGCTTCTATACTAGTTATCACATCTGTTCCCACATCTCCATTCTGACTATTACTAACTCACCTCCTGCTCTATGACATTTTCCCTCCATCAATGCAATGGCCTCCTAAGAGGCCTCCTGCCTTCTATTCTTTCCTTTGCCAAACCACTGGCACACAGCTGTCAGATTAATTCTTCCTGAAAATTTAGATTAAAACTACTTGCTCAAGTGCATCTCAAATAAAGTCTAAGATCCTTATACTTTTCAAAGCCCTACCTTTCCAACCGTATTTTCCATCATTCTCTTGGGTATGAAATCACATTCAGACTTAATCCCTGTTTGGTAGTGCCTTGTACTTTCATTCTTATTGCATTTGATCATAACATTCTATTTATTTTAAAAGCCCTTTTCACATATCTATGTTTCCAGTTCTACCTATCCTTCAAGGCCTAGCTGAGGTGTCACCTCCTGCATGAAGCCTTCCATGATTGAGCTATCATTTACTGAATGACTACTAAATGCTAGGCACATAAAGCTCTACATATATTATTTCATTTCAAATATACAACACTCCTAAGTTTCATTTGAACAAACAGGCTTATAGAGGATAAGTAAATTGTCATGGTGTCACAGACTATAAATGGTAGGTAGATGTGGGGTTCTAGCTAAAGCTTCTCACTTTCACTAACTACTGCATCTTGCCTTCCATGTGATGGCCTCTGTAATACCTTGAAGTTTATTTGTTCCTCTTGTATGATGTTTGTTACTTCCTATACAATTTCAAAGTTATTTATTTGTATGTCAAATTTGCTAGTCACTTGAGGGAAGATATCTGGAGAATTCATAGTGCCTTTATATGGCAAGGGAATCCCTCAGAGGTGCAAATGGTTAACATGCTTCTCTGTTAACTGAAAATTTGGAAGTTTGAGTCCACCCAGAGGCACCATGGAACAAAAGTTTGGTGATCTACCATTGAAAAAATCAGCCACTGAAAACCCTCTGGAGCACAGCTCTACTCTGACACACATGGAGTCACTATGAGCAGAGTCAACTCAATGGCAACTGGCATTGCCTTCCATGATGCCTCAACATGAACCTATTACTCCAATTATTCTAAACTGCATAATTACTCAAACACAATGCTCACTGCCATCTCGGGCCTTTGCTCTTGATGTTTCTCTTTCATGGAATGCCACCTTCCTCTTACCAAACCGTATTTATTCTTCTTTCAAGTTTCAACTAAAAAAACAACAACTCACAAAGGTCTTCTATGGGTAAGGTAGTGCTCCATCAATTAAAAAATTGAAAAGAATAATATTAGGCAAGTCCATTATTCCATGTCTGTGTCAATTATCTACCGATTCCATTGTCCCTGCAGAGAGTCGTTTCTTATACTGAAAAACTCTAAGCACACTATTGAACACATAGTACAGACTTTTAAAATACTGTGAGCTAAAGTTATTCTCATATAAAGTAATTTACAGGAGTTAATTTATTATGTTGTTGTTCTGTGCCGTTGAGTTGATTACGACTCACAGCAACCCTACAGGACAGAAGCGGCTGGTGGATTTGAACTGCCGACCTTTTGGTTAGCAGAATAACTTAAAATTTCACCTTCTTTTTCTGCCTACTATACAGGCCTACAAAAGGAGCCCTGGTGGCGCAGTGGTTAAGCTCTTGGCTGCTAACCAAAAGGTCGGCGGTTCAAACCCACCAGCTGCTCCTCAGGAGAAAGACATCATAGTCTGCTTCTATAAAGATTACAGCTTTGGAAACCCTATGGTGCAGTTCTACTTTGTCCTATAGGGTCACTATGAGTTGAAATCAACTTGATGGTAACAGTTTTATGCAGGCCTATCACAAAAACTCAGTCATCTTTCATTCTTCAACAATATAAACCTATTTATTTAGTTAAAATTAAAAATTGGCCTCCAAAGCAATAATACGATGTGCCGGATGGTTAGGAGGTGCTTTCTTAGGTAATGGATATTGAGGTAAAGATTTTCCCTAATGCATACTTCTCAAGAGGGTAAAAGCATCCCATTTTACATCTTATGGGACCTTGTTTTAACCACATGACTTACATTTGTCAAGGACAGTGAAATGTATACAACTGCACACCAAATGGATATCCAATAGTTTGTCAAAACAATTTAATTTTTGATGGAGGTAGTCACTGACTCAAATAACCTAAAATGCTCACTAATTTAAAAAAATCTTTTATATCTGGTATTGTAGTATCATCTTTTTTATAATTTGTGTTGAAATATACAACAGTTCCAAAAATTGTGAAATTATATTTTAAAATGTGAGCTCTGGAGGAGGTCGAATATAATCTAGTTACTGTGTTTCTATGATGGATTATACCAGCTCAGCCCTTCTTTGTACTCCCACCACTCCAAGCTGGAAATGGACAACAGATCTCCTACAGACCCAAAAGCTCACACTAGGCACAATCACTTTTATTTTCCTAAGTACCCTAAAAACACGTTCCCAAGGGGAGGGTAAGTACTATTTTTCCTTAAAACACAGTCTTTCTAATTCTACCTGTGCCTTAAAAAAAAAAAAATCCCGCTACTTCAACAAGGTATTTAATTAAACAGATTAAGGGTCAATAAGCCTCTGAAAGGAACATCTGTCTAAGCTAATTGATCCAATTTGCCTTTGATAAACTCAGAATCTCCTAAAGAAAATCACAGTTTGGCTTACAGGCGAGGTGGACGGATAAGAGGGGATTTCAGGGCACTTACATCTCTGTGATGGTCTCTGGCAGATTTGTGGGGATTTCAGTAAGACTTTTCCCACGACAGTCTACGATATTGTTGCTACAGGTACAAGCGGCTGGGCAGTGCAGAACGCTGCAAGACGGAGCCATGAAGGACTGGTGCCCTGAAAAAGAAACAGATTGCAATCATATTTTTTCCTCCTGAATTTCCTCACTGAGAAACACACAAGCTTAGCTCAAATAACAAAGCATGTTACAGAAATAAATTTATCTAAAGCCCTGATCATAAAATGGTCCTGTATTTCTAACATATATATTTAGAAAGCATGCATTTATATTTGAGGGTCAACACTCAGATGAAGCAAACGGGATTTTACAAACTGGTTAGAAAGATGGTAATTAAAAAAAAAAATACTGAACTAATTGGGAGAAAGGTTAAATTCAGATGCAAAACTAGAATGCTATTCAAAACTATTCTGAGTTGCAAAAAAAGCAGCAATTTCAGACTAATCTATGGTTCATGTCTAATAAGCTTAAATAGAGCTTGGAATTCATTAAACTTGCAGAGCTTAATTTACTTTGTCTTAAACAAAGAAAAGAAAACAGTAAAATTCTTTAATGGTTCCTATAATTGTTGCTCTAATTAAGTAATCATGCACCAATAAATGTGGGGAAAAATTAGATAATACTAAGTTTGATGGCTGGATAGGTTCAAAATTACTGCTTTCTTTGAAGTTACGGTTATAATTTATATCATGCCATTGTGTAATTGTTACTCTATATGATTCTGTTTTGGTTCAGCATAATTTAAAATTTCAGCATAAGTAATTATCTGCAGGTATGTTTGAACTATTCAGTATTTGGGAAAAAAAAATATTTTGAAATAAACGTTTCCTGTTCCAATGAGGCACAAGAAAGTATCAGTAGTGCTGTACGAAACAGGCATCTGTAGACACTTGGTTACTAGAAGGAAGCAAGGAAGGCTCCCCTTAACCTGCAGAGAAATGGCTAGAGTGGTGGAGACACCCTAGGAAGATAGTATGGACTGGGTAGTTATTAACACATAGGAGACCTGGTGGCTTAATGGTTACGCATTGGTTCAAACCCATCCAGAGGCTCCATGAAAGAAAGACCTGGGGACCTGCTTCTATAAAAGATTACAGTCAAGAAAACCCTTTGGGGCAGTTTTCTGTCACATGGAATCACTATGAGTTGGAATGGACTCTAAGGAACTCCACAACAACAGTTACAAACTCAACACCTATAAACAGACTCTCAAACTTTACAAAAATATTCTCAGTCTAAAAAAAAAAAGTGAACTTGCCTTCTTCCTCATCTAGAAAACAGGAAGGAAAAAGTGAAGAGAGAAAAAAGTGGTTAATAAAGAATTGTTAGTCATCTTATTATTTAATTGAATTTATTTAATTAATTTAATGTTTTAATTTAAAGCAATCAGACCCATTGAGAACATTCCATGACATTACAAGAAATCTTTTCTGGGTTATAGAAAGTGTGGAAAAATACATTTAAAAAGCTCTAAAAAATCCCACACGAAACAGAATCCTATACTGTCTTCCAACTCTTTCTTTAAGAAACGGTTGAAACATATATGAGGTATTATACATTTTTTAAACGTTTGTTTTATTGTATTTTCAACAGAGACTTTTAACTTAGCCGAGTCCTATATTTATAAAATAAACATTAAAATGGATAAATGTAATATTAATATATAATAATATATAATTTAAATATACATGTGAATGGTTAGGTGGAGGTACTGGTTCTGCCACTTTTCAGCTCTATAACTTTGGACAAGATTACCTATCTCCTTTTCTCATCATTTTAATCTCTAATACAGTTGATATGAGGGAGTTAAAATGAGGTAAATAAACAGGAAATACTTAATTGGTGCCTGGTACATAGAACGCCCACCACTCGTCTGTCAGTTTATCGTACTGTGGTGGCTTCCGTGGTGCAGAGGACCTAGGAGCTATGCCACTGGCGTTTAAAATACCAGCAGGGTCTTCCATGGTGGGTGGGTTTCAGCAGAGCTTTCAGACAAAGACACACTAAGGAAGAAGTCCCTGGTGGTCTACTACTGAAAAAATTAGCCAGTGAAAACCTTATGAATAGCAGTGGAACACTGTCTGATACAGTGCCAGAAGATGAGCCCCTCAGGTTGGAAAGCACTCAATGAAACAATGGGCTCAAACATGGAAATGATTGGGAGGGTGGTGGAAGACCGGGCGGCGTTTCGTTCTGTTTCGTACATAGGGTTGCAATGAGTGGGAACTGACTCAACGGCACTTAACACCACCACCACCGCCATAGAAAACACTTAATAAATGTTAGCTATCAGTATTTTATAGAGTCCATGTCTTATTTTTGTTTTCAGATTTTTGTTACTAACGCTAGTTTTTTTATTTATCTTAAGTAAAATGGAACTATTAATATACTGTTTGCATAAAAAGGTATTTTGGCACTTTGCAACTCTGGTTGAACTACTTTTTGAATTTCACAGCAGGGATTCAGATTAGATAGTCAATTTTCAAATGTTAACATAAAAATAGATATAAATTATCACTGCGAGGGAAAATGATGAGTAGCAAATAGCACCTTAATTTATAAAAGAATTTCCTATGATTCCCCTAGAGAAAAAACTAAAAAATATGTCATCATAACTTAGGTACAAGTAATCAGTAATTGCCAACCACGTAGAAATGTCTCAGAACTTACTAAAAGGAGGATTTCCATAGAGTCATTAATGCAAGACTGCACATGTTAGTGAGCTGCGCTGATACATTTGAAGCATGCATTCTTCCCATTCTGTTACACAATAGCATACGGTAAGACAATAGCATAATGGTTCTTTCTCCCTTACCACTGCAGACAAATTCTCGTTTCTGAACCTCAGCTACATTATGGCCCCTCAGGTGGGATGGGCCCATACACTGGGTGTAGAGGCCGACCCGAGGCCTCTGGCGCAGCCAATCAGAGAGCCAGGCCAGGTGGCAGTCACAGTACAAGTTGTTGGAATGGAGACGACTGGATGAGAGGGAAGAAGTTTAAAGCAACAAAAACAGAAAACAATTACTCCAAAAACTTGAAGAAGTCATTAATAACAATGGCTAGCTTTACTTGTTAACATATTAAGTAGATAAAGCTTAGAAAGTCCCAGTCTAATAAGTCTTTTAAAAAATTAAACTGGTTTGCACCCCAGAATCATGCCGCTTTTCATTTACTTTGAACGAAGCAAATACACACGAGCTTAAACATGACCATGGAATTCCCTTACCTATACTCATTCAAAAGGATGAAGAGAAAAACCAAGTTCAAGGCAAACTTCTCTACAGTGGCAACATACTGAAGGCAAGTGGGGGGCGGGGTTGACATGGGGGCATGAGAGGAGGGGGCAAGTTAATAAAAGATGTGGCTCCCACTTTCATATATCAGTAAGTTCTGCTGTTACTAGTCTCTATAGAAACTGCTTGCAATATCTTTTTAGCAGTTGACTTTCATTTTCTGCTGAACAAGACAGAATAATACTTCAATATAAAACACTTTTTTCACATCCCTATTGTGATTTCCTTCCTTTTTTGTTTAATCACAGATTAGCTGTTTTTGGCTCTTGGGGACCCATGCTCAGAGAGCTGGGACTGAAATGAAAAGGCATAAATGGCAAGCAGTGAAGGAATTAAGTGACTCCCCCCTATGTTGGCCAAGATCCACACAACATCATGGATCGCTTCCAAGTGGCAAACAGCACTTCTCCATTAATAAAATATCAGACAAATGTATCCACTAAATTAGGTAAACTACTTTAAACCAGCTTTTGTTTTCTCAAACCAAAGAAAAGGACATCCAAAGCTATAAATCAAAGCATCATTCCCAGAATCTTCTCTGACAAAGTAATATCATTTTAGTCCTTTTTAGCTGATGTGCTCAATTCTAAACCAGTAACAGTAATGGATATTAAAACATGCAACTCAGTCCAGAAATATAATTGGACCATAAAAATGGAATTTTTAACTAGCAATGATACTATGGAATAATGAACCAATCAAAGCAAAGGAATTTAAAGCTAGAAGACTGCTTTCTGTTATCCTTGAGCCTGTTGCAGATACAGGGTAGTCCTGCACCAAAACTGTAAGGAATGTTGCAGAATTAAAAAGCTACAGTTTGGAAAAGCTGAGTGACCTCCGGCTCAGCTTGCTTAGAAATTAGAGTGTCATCCAATGGAAGCCACAGAAGCATACTGTACATGTTGCATCATTGGTCTCTAAATATTTCCATCTCAAACTGTGCACATTACAGAGATTCAATACATGTGTACAAGTCTGAAATCAGAAAAGCACGTAACTTAAAAACCTGACTGGTAGACAAACTGTGGTGGGTTTCTACAAGAAAATAAAGGACTCAAAAAATGCAGATGCTGAATGTTTTTATCAACTCAGTTGCTTTATTTTTGTAAGAACTGAAAGCTTGATCAATTTGGAAAAACTGGCTGAAGTTAAAATACAAGACTAATTTGGTTAAATATAGTCTGAGTGAACTGGGTTACTAATTCAAGTCAGACTATAGTCTCAGTCTGATAGCCCCAAGAAAACAAAACTCAGTTGTATTTGAATACTTTTGGAATTATTTCATTTTGCTAAATCATATTCCGAGGTAATTATAATGATGTGATATCACATACAGAGTTACATTTTAGAGAAAAAAAAATTAACATAAGATTGATATTATCTAATTCATTAAATAGCTGGTAATTCAATTGATTTTTGTATTCAAGAAAGAAAAAAATGTTAATATTTTTCTAGTTATAAGTCATTACAAAATAGAAATTTTTTTAAATTTTTTTATTGTTGTAATTAAATGAAGTTACATTTCAAGTTAGTCTCCCACACAAAATTTTTATACATACATTGTTATGAGACCTTAATTGTTCACCCCACTCTGCGACAGCACACAGAATCAGAAATATTTTGAAAATCCAATCAAAATATATATATTTACTCTATTTAAAACTTTTTTTTTTCCAAAAAATCTGATGGTTTGGCTATGTTTCAAACCACTTCTCACATGAAATTTTTTTTTTAGGTCAACGTGGTTCTGAGGCCGGTTCAAATGAGATTTACCTTTGAAAAGGCTATAACTAAATACCCCACCTGGGTTTTAAGGATTAATTTTTCTCCAAGAGAAAAAAATAGCTGTAACTAGTACTTTATCAGAAAATCCTTTCTATTTACCTAAAATATTTTAATGTCCCTGAAAAGATATTTTTAAAAATAAATACTGACACATATTTAATTATAGAAAAGCACTAGAAGGTGATGCTGTGATTTTATGTTACACAGAATGTTGGAGAACTAGTTTAGCTTTACTAGGTCTGCTTCCATTATAGTAATAAAATCATAAAAATTTCTCATTTATCATTTATGGCAGCCCATTAAGAAGTCTTCCATTTCTTAATGAAATGTGACCTCTGCAATTGCTCAAAGTAAACGTTTCCCCCCTAAGCTTCGCATAATGCATATCATTTAAAAGGAAGTTTTAGGTTCAGAACAGTAGTTAATTTACTCAAATATCATATTTAGAATTAAAAAAAAAAAAAATCCGTGCTTTCTTTGCCAACTTCATCATAAACAAGTGGTCCTATTATTTGCTTACTAAAAATAATACTTCCTGGGTACTCTTAATTGATTAAATTGACCTTTACTTACAAAGTCCTAAGTTTAGGCATATGGTTGAAACTTGCCACAGAAAGTCTAGTAATGTTGTTATTGTTGAGAGTGCTGTAGAATAATAAAAAACAAGTTAGAAATTTCAGATATGAAAGTTTGTTGATCATTCTATATAATAATACAGAGAAATCTCTTGTCACTATGCATATGCAGGACAACTACGTGGAAGAGATGGCATAGAGAATGCACTATTCTATAGACAATTCAGTATTTCAATTTCATAGTTTAGCACATTATTAGCCATTCAGTTTTATTAAATGTTTATTCAATATGGCTTTAGCCACGTCACCTTTGACTTCATGTTACTTCCTGCACATTGTACATGGGAATCTAGTCACAATATTCTTAAAGGAATAGGACAGTCATAGTTGGACAATTGAGCAATTATATTTCCTTCCAAGGTGGATTGATAATGCGTATTCAGTATATCCTGCCTGGTGCAGATGGTGAATGTGCCTGGCTGCTGACTAAAAGGTTGGAGGTTCAAGTCCACCCAAAGGTACCTTGTGAAAAAGGCCTGGCAATCTACTTCCAAAAAATCAGCCACTGGAAACCCTACGGAGCACAGTTCTACTCTGACATACATGGGGTTGCCATGAGTCAAAATCGTGACAACTGGTGGTGGTGGTGACCTCTGTTAGATCCATTAGGGCCCATGAGGAAATGAACATACTGGAACTATTCACCTGAAATCTCACAGCAACATAGTATCAGTCCTATCAGGTCCTGGAAGAGGGTTGTGCTAATTGTTCTACTGTGGATATCAGCACCTAGTGAAATTTGAGTAGTAAGAACTATGTCTTTATTTAGTACTTCCATCAAGTCAGGATGAAGTGACATGCTGTAGTACTATTAAAGGCTTAATTTAATCTAACAGTTGTTAGCTGTAGCAGCATATCCTGTCCTTTCTGTAGTGCTGTGTGGTACGAGCTAGAACCGGGAACATGGGTGGTCAAGGAGTTATGGTGAAAATAAGTATAATCCTGGCTTGGTTCAAATTTTTGCCTAAGCTATGTTTCCTAGTTTCCCCTCACACAGCATTGTTAGTTGTTTTATTATTGTTGTCACTGTCATTCATCCACTCATCAAATACTTCCTGAAGGGATGTTACTTTTTTGGCAACACAGAGTATTATCAAAATTCACCAGGCCTACATTATTTACTAAAATAGCATAGTGTCCAACTAGGGAGATGAACTACACAAACTACAAATACTCAGAATTCGTAAGATTAAGAAGAGAGATGTTTATCCCTTTTCTGACGATTCTCAGAGAACAATGTGAAAAGAGTCATCCCAGAGGTGTGAGAGAAAAGTGTAGAAGTGGAAAGTGATTCTAGGATGGGGAAGACAATGACGATACAGGGTAGGTAGTGACTGAGGAGTTCAAGTTGTTGAAGGAGGCAAGAAAGATGGGATTAATGGCTCAGGTGGATGAAGGTGGATAGCAGAGAAAGGTTTGAATTAGGGGTTGCAAAGTCACTTGCCTACAGACACCAGGCAGGGACCACAAATGAAAAGAAGCAGGTCATGTGTAAAGACATAAAACGGGCAAGAAAAATGGAGAGTAGCAGGCAGACAGTTGAGGATGGTGAGGACCAGGGCTAATTAGAGAGGATATTGCCTGTTGTAGCAGCTAATATTCAGCTCCAAGGGACTGCTGGAATGCTGTATTAAAAGGCTGCCAAACAATCTGATTTTTTTAAGAGAAGCTGGAAACGGAAATTTTTAGATCAACCCTCCTGAGCTTTAAATACTGGCAACTAATTCAAACATTTCTAAGAGTCTGCGAGCCAACTGTGCGAGCTAAGCAAAAAGCATTTCTGAGGCTGTTTTAGGCCAGCTGGTGGCTGCAGTTATCAATGGGTAATACAGGGTGTTTGGGGTTGAGGCAGTGACTTATACTTCTTAATAAAGTAGGACAAGTCTGCTACAGACCCAGTGCATGCACTGCCTGTCTTTACTATCCAGTTTTGCAATGTATCAAATGATACGAGAACTAATCCAAGTGATTTGAATTAAGTCACATGGGGGGCACTTTATGGAGCACCTATAAAGCACTAAATTGGTTGGCTCATGTTATCTAAAAGCCTCTAGCATTTTCTTGGACTAAAGTGAAATGAGATGTTTTTTCAAACCACATTAGAACATATAACCCTGATGTCTGAACTAAAAGGTTTCACTTCTCAAAGGGCTTTGCTTTCAAATGACCCCTTTACCCACTCTCAGAATTTATGTTGACTTATTATGACTAAAATCTTCAGACTACATGGCATACTGAAATGCGACTCTGGGGATAAAAATGTTTTAAAAAGTAATTCACGGTAGGCGTGTGTAAATTTTGAACTATGGTTTCTAATGCTGCCATGCAAAAGAAGATTTTCACTGAACACTACACTATGATGAAGCCTATAGCTATCAGTTTGAAGACTTTTCTCAAAATGTTAGTTCACATGATTAACTGAAAAGATGTATTATTTTAGTATTTTTATTCAGTATTGATACTGCAGCCCTACTGGTGCAGTGGTTAAGTGTTTAGCTGCTAAGTGAAAGTTTGGTGGTTTGATCCCATCAGCCACTTCGCAGGGGAAAAATGTGGCAGTCTGCTTCGGAAAAATTTACAGCCTTGGAAACTCTATGGAACAGTTCTACTCTGTCCTATAGGATTGTTGTGAGTCAGAATTGTCTTGACAGCCATGGGTTTGGCTTGTGGTTACTGATAACTGGCAAAGCAACGTTGATACCAATACTGGTGGACTGAACAGTATGTGGAAGCAATGAAATCATTATCTTAAAATTAACACTAAATGTAAATGTTAATTAGGTATGATCAGATGTATATGGTATGGTCACAATCAGTTCCTATTCTGAAACAAATTGAATTCACATATTGTACCATTTTACTTGTAAACTTTTTTCCAGTGTGTACGTCTGTTTCTATGTTCAACCTCAAGATTTTCTCTTTGTAGCAAAAAAGACTTTCCAACTTAACTTTGTTGAATTTATGTCATGTAGTACAAAGGACATCATGGTATGTAAATCAGAAATGTTAGCCTTGATAATTATGTAGCCCCTCTAGGATCAAAATCTGGATTTAGACTTTTTTATTCCCATAGTGCCAAGAACAGGACTTGGCAGAGAATCTGATATTTAATGGATATGTATCACTATGTTTCAATTAAATTAAGTTATGCCCATTCTGTAGAGAAGGAAAAAAAAGAAAAAAAAAAAAAAACAATAAGCTACACTAAATTAGCAACTGAAGGGATATAATTCACTTCTGAATTCAGGGTTCAAAGAAAAAGAAAACATTGATCTATATTTAGTTTCCAGATAGTGTTATTTTTTTGAGATGCTATCTTTATATTAGTTCTACATTCTACCAACTAGAATTCCACAGCATGCCAGTCCACCATGAACATGCAAGTAATAAACTTCTCCCTTGCTGTCATCTACCTTGACTTTTGCTTCTTCTTGAACCTTATCCACACTCTCTACTCCAATATATATCCCAATCTAACACATCTTCAGCAATGGCCCTGGATGATTGCTCCGTCTTCCCTGGTTGGCCATAGCAGATTCATACATTCTCAAATGATTCATGGAATTAAAATAAATATAAAACATCTGGAAACTGAAATTTAAGGTTATGTTCAAGTTAATGATTCTTCATTATTCCCACTTAATAAGATGTTATATTCTAAAGACCAAAAAATTAAGAAAAACAGACCACCTCATTTCTGGAACTTTTCTGAGGGTAACTCTACAAACAAAGACTCCTGACCAAATATTTATAACGGGCCAAATTTGATTTCCGTGACAGTAATTTAGGCTTAATAAATTCATCTTTTCAGTGCTTTATTGTTTTACCCATTTTTTTCATTAATTTTTTTCAATTAATTTCTCTAAAGGTTGTTCAAAGTATGAGGATTTAAAAACAACATACTATTAAAATAATGTTTGCTTGGCTTTATGGCATTTTAATATAAAAGATTCCATTCCCTTTCAATGAAATTTCAGATTTTCTTGTATTATGTATCAATTTTTATGGTTTTCTTTAGTAAACAAGCCACAACCATTCTATATCTCTTTGAGAGCTATATATTAAAGTGCTCAAAAAAGTTCCTACCATTTTGGGTTTTTATTTTATTTTAATTCCATGTAGCATAAAGAATTTATCACTCTGGTGTGTTTCATGATAGCGGGCTGTTGGTTGAGTCACCTTTTAGATATCTGCTAACACGACAAATAAAATATATGAGGTAATTGTGTCTTTACAAATTTACTGCTAAAAGCAATGGTATCAGTTTAAAACAAATAAGTTATTATTTCTGTGGGTAAAGGGTTGATCAGTGCCTGACACAGTAGTTGTCACACGTTGTTGCTGTAAGCTGTCAAGTCGGTTCCGACTCACAGTGACTCTATAGGACAGAGTAGAACTGCCCCATAGGGTTTCCAAAGAGCGGCTAGTGGATTCAAACTGCCGACATTTTGGTTAGCAGCCAAGTTCTTAACCACTGTAGCACCAGGGAGCTGTGTTGGCACATAGTAGGTATTAAGTATATGCAAATATATATTGAATAAGCTGAATGATTCCATGTTTAATACACATCTAAACCCTTTCACTTAATAACAAGGCACTTTAAGGGATTCAATTCATCCAAAATACTCAGTCAACTTTCCATAAAAATGTTTCATATTATTCCTATATCTAGTTACGAGTACTGACTCAGTAACATATTTTTGGCACGATCAGCTCTGTTCAATTAAATAATTCTTGTGAGCAGTCTTCTCATATGCAAAGTTTAGTGACACCACCTTTTTTGACCTCAGATCACTATCATGAAATCACAGTTGTATCCTAATTATTCTGATTCTGAAATAGCATCAGTGAGCTTCATATATTCAAAATGGCTCTGCAACACAGTTTAAAAAGTGACCTTATAGCTAAAATTATATGATAAGCATTTTGGATATTTTTCTTATAGAAAAAGTTATATTGTTATCAACAGAGGCAAAAGGGATCTCTCATGTGGTTGGAGAATAGTACAGATTTTTAAATATCACAATTTATCTCAATCAACTCATTCATATACACATCTTCAAAATAATTCTTAACTGGATACTTTACAAAGCTAGTAATTCTATTCATTCACTCACAATTAAAAGCAAAATCATGTAAGAAATATTACTAAAACAAGTCATTCTCATTGAAACACTAAACTTTTTCAAAATCACTTTCTGTTCCTCAAACTCAGTTTATAAAGCAATCAAAATTTTTCTCAGGGAGATTTCACGATTTCTGGATGACTTCTAATAAATGGACTAAAAACGCAAAACCTCTTCATGTTTAATTCAATTTTGGATTTATGACTAAACTTTTCATGTCAATGATGATGATTTAAAACATAAAAAATATTTTATTGTTGGGGAAAATGTGTAAGTATATCCAGTAAGGTAGATTTATGAAACTTTTACTGAAAAAAAAAAAAAAAAAATCCAGAAATCTATGGACGGCTTAACTTTCTTTCCTACTTTATTTTTCATTACAATTATTTTACAGTGTCAAAGCTAAGTAGAGATCACTTAGCTGTAACCAATTTTGTCAGCAAGAAAAGGGAAAGGAAGTTACCTACAATTCCAATCTGTACGTTGTACATTACAAAGTCAGTTGTAAAGACTTTAAAATGGAATGCACAGCTTATTAAAATTAGAAAGTAGATTTTGAAATAACCTAACAAAGATAATATTAAGTTACCTGGTTAAAAATGACTTTTTTTTAATGAAAATACATTTTTTCCATTGCATAACAACTTATAAACATACTAACACACCCGCTACCAAATGGTGGACTATTCTGTTACACACATGTCATTAGGTGGATGTTTTGTGGTTCTTGTTCCTATAAAACTGAGTTTATCTTCATATTTAGCAATTCTGGAAATTCCCACAAATCCTGTGAGTTAGAATATTTTATTATAAGGAGAAACACAGGATAATACGTGTTAACATTTGAATGTCCTTCATAAAAAGACAGTTTTACCTAAGCATAGAGACGCAGTACGCAAGGTTTTGCGCACACATTTCTGACTCTTCCCTGTGTTAACCATGAGTTATTTAAGGGATCTCCTCAGGAGGTCATTTTGACACAAGATTTTTAGCGAGCAGATCATGTTTCACATCAGTACTACCGAGACACAAAGCTCCAGTTAAAAGAGTAAGGATACAAGCAGTACTTACAGCACTTCCAGGTCCCGGAGAGCCCTAAATGTTCCATCTTCAATACAGCTGATCTGGTTATAATCCAGTTGCCTGTTAAATAGATTAGAAGGAGATATGTAAAAGAGATGACCATAAGCAGGGCGAGGTGAAAGGAAGTCTCCCGAAGGGTCTCGGAAGCCCTGGCCACACTCACTGAAATGCTCTCCCAAATACACTCATCTGCTGAAGAATGTCACAAGCCATTCTGGTCTTGATGCCGCCACTGAAATCTCTTTTTGTTCTGAACTGTCTGTGCCAACAGCCGCCCTGGGAAAGCTCCAGTAAATAATAACTGCACCTTCTATTAAATGCCATAGGAATGCAATTTCATTACATCAAGAAAAGCTATCCATTAAGAGCTTTCAGCGTCATCTTGCTGAAACAATTTCATTAAGGTAAAGCGCTGTAAATCACTTAATGTCACAGCACCCCCTCAGTGACCTAACAGAATCCATTTATTAGAGAAGCCCAGCTGCATGTTAATTCACTATCCTTGGCAAGACCAAGAGAGACTACTTTAAGGTTTTCTTCTTTTAAAAGCACTTTTCCTTCGAGAACTCCCAATCAAGAAAGAAGAAATCATGCCTTATATATCTCCCTGCTTTCCCAACCAGGAATACACTTTAGAAAGCTAGCAGTTGTTCTATATTAAGCTTCACTCTTCTCAAAATTTGCATCGTCTCTCATTCTATGCAGACACTCTTTACCGTAAATATACTTCTTAGTTAAGGAACTTCCAGAATTATAGTCTGGATACCACCCTCTGGAAAATAAACTTTAAGTATTCAGGAATAAATAAAAATTTTCATTTTCTCAGAGATGTTCATTTCAGCCCCAAACACTTAAAAATACAATACACAAACATGGTCAAAATACTACGCATACTGACGGTAAAAACTTTAAAAGCCGTATCAGTTCATTCCAAACAATATATAATTCAAAGTAATGAAGCTTCTCCAGTCATTTAAGTACTCATTTGTTAAAATTCAAACATAAATAAATAATAAATAAATAAGGCTGTTCCAAACTGGTTAAATATGCTTTTTTCCTCCTGCTTATACTTTGGAATTAAACTTGCCTTATTTATATTAAGGAAACTACCTGCTTGAAATGAAGAGCTAAATACAAAATCCTACCTGCACTGTCCTGTCTGTCCTTTACAAACAAGCAGTTGTTTAAAGCTAGCAGCTTGATGCTTACATTATTATTCTAGCAAAGAAAGTACTTTAATGCCTCACTTGAAATAGAAACAGAACGTTTCACAAAATACTAAGGTGAGTTGTCAGCTCTACAAGCTTGGGTGAGGCAATGCAGATGTAGCGGGGTAAGACTATGATCATAATACAAATGAACTCTGTCCTTGGATCAAGTTCTGAATTCATATTTGAGGTCTGCTCTTAAAGGAGTGTTTAAACATTCCTATAAAAGAGCTATTTCCCTCACATGACTACGGAATAAAGGTGCAATAATTTAATCGAGTCACTTTCAGAGGGGCCCCTTCAAATTTAGGAATTATGTACATAGAGAATGTCTCATAAAATATACGTATCATTTTTAAGAAGGCCTCCAGGGGACACAATCATACACAAGACTATCTTGATGTCATGCAAATAGTTCAATCTAGGAGATATATATATATATATGATACACCTCAGAGAAGAAAAAAAATTTATTGCTTTTATAAACTAAGGCTTTTCCCAAATACTAGCTACTATCCATGCTACTATAATAGCCTAAAGTATCTCTACTTATTGGAAATTAATAACGGAAGTATAATTTTATTTTCTAAGAAGACTTTTAAAGCCTCATGATGTAATATGACTGCTGTGGTTGCCCCCCTCCAAAAAAAAAAAAAAAACCACAAAAAACACTAGCATTCTTGAGCTCTTTTGATTTTTACAGATTAAACAGATTAAATTCATTTAACAATTAAGTTAACAGCCTTTTTATTTTAAAGTGCTAAATATATATCTAAACTATTATTCTCTAACCTCTTGAACAATTTATCAAAGCCATTTAAATTAGTACAATGGCATGAAGTGTTACCCTTGACACAAAACAAAAGAGAAATTGTTTCCAGACAAATTGGCAAAATCTTTTAATGCTATCAAATTTGCCTAATGCAGTCTCCAGGTTAATCTGTAAAAGGGTGAGCTGTATGTTTGCCCATATCTTATTATCCTTAGCTGTCAATGTATAAATCAGCACTGACACAGCTTCTTCTAAATCATGCACACTATACACAAAGGGGAAGCGCTAGCTTGCCGGAAAGCGCTCAAGCAAATCTTGTCCTACAACCACTGAAAGGCCGATCCCTTCAGAAGTTGAGACATGGCTAAAAATTTGCTAATTTCACCTCTCTTTAACAATGCTCATTGGGAATTGCTTTTCCAGTTCTTATCAGAAATCCAATCTCTTTTTGGTGCTAAAACATTAAGAACATCTGATTTTCCTAGGGCTGAAGATTTTTCTTAAAAGTTTTCTGAATGCCATTATATCTCAGTTCATATACCTTTTGAAAATGAAGGTATTTTGTGGGCAAGTTACACATATTACTGGACAATCAAAAAAAATCAAACAACTGAAAATAGTTTTTTAATTTGTAGGTTTTGTTCTATGGAAAAGAATGTTTATGGAAAGTGTTGTGCCTGCATGAACGCTCATGCAGAAAATCTTTCCTAACAAGCCCCCATTTGTCTGCATATGGTTCAAGATAAACAGTGTCAAAACTAGGCAAAAGTGTAATTTATTTCAGGATTTCTGGATTATTTTTCTGCACCTTGTTTCTCTCACTCTGCTCACTTCCTTTTCCACTACCTTTCAAGCCCTGGGCACTATTGCTTTCTGTAAACAGGAAAGGTTCTGCTCTTAGCCATGCGTTTAGTGATGGACAAACTGACCCTGTCTTGCTGTGGTCTCCAACTGGGCCATGAAATTATTCTGAATTAAAGAATTAGCAAGAGGGGATTCTCTCTTCCCCCTCTGTTCTCTGTAAATACTGTTATTACTATTTAGCCAGACAAGGTAAACAGTTTTAAAGAGATTGGGATGATGAGGGCTTTAGGTATAATGGCAACAGTTTAAAACTCTTTTCTAGGGCAGGAGCTGCTTGGTAGAGTGCAAGCGAGGGCTCTGCCTGTTTTCTGGAAAGAAGGAATGGCGTGGTATCGGCAGTTTTTTTTCAGATCTTTAGCAGCCTACACCTTAGCACAGACTTTTGTGTCTTTTCCTCATTTCCTGCCTCCAAGTCTCCTTTCTGCTTCTATTCAAAGTCCACATCCCCTCTCCATCCAGTCCTTCACTGTCTTTAGACTGTAAGTTTGTGTTTTTAATCACTACTTGATCTTTAATTTCTTGAAAATGAGGAGTGAAAATGAACAGACAATCTTTAAGCTCTCTCTCACCACTACATTCTATGATTCTCTTTTTAGTGGCAACGGCTCCTTTTCTGATGCCCAAGAATAACTCAAGACCCTTCGATTTAATTTCTCCTAGCACTGGTCTTAGACAATGTAGTGTATCGAAGGAACCCATTCTTTATTAATAGAGACATCACTCTGTGCTCACACACATACAATTTCTGAACTTGATTTGTATTTCTTTAACACTAAAAATAATTTAGCCCAGTTTCAGAATTTGATTTATTCTTGGTATGGAAGACAATAGATAATGTTGCTAAATATAAGTTTTAAAATAGGTATACTGAATGACAAAAACATTAAATATTTGCTTACTTGGCATTCTGAAACATTGTATTCTGTTGTTATCACTGTATTCTGTTACTTTTACGTTTTCTTCAAGGATTTCCTGCTTTCATTTTCTTAAAATTCGGATATCCTACTCGTTGGATATTAACTTCAGTTGATTCTGTCCCTACCTATAGCAACTTCACAGCGTCTGAATAATGAGATCTTATCACTAACTGATTTTTTTTTTGTAAGAATTAGATCATAAAATATAATTAACTCCAAAACAATACTGAACATAGCAATTTTGATAATTTCTAAGCCAGGCAGGATCTCTCACTGTCTCATAAAAATCATTATGACTATGCTCCAGATTTTGTTTGGATGCTAGAAACAGAAGTTAAATTTATATTCACAGTACTACTGGGGAGATAGCAAATTCCAAATATTCCATTGCCTTAAAACATATCAAAGTGGTTAGGATTATTATCAGGAAAGAGCAACACTTCACTATTCAGAAAGTACCCTGATAAAAACATATAAATTCAAGGAGAAAAAATTAAAAGCTGTTAAGGAAATGGATATGACCTCTTCTATTTCGAACACTGCGTGTGTAAAATTCAAGTCAGTAAGAGCATCTAAAAATGCAGCTCTTAAACAAATAATGCTATTAAAGCAGTTGTCTAAGATATTTAGAGAACACAAGAATAATACAGACTGCTTTATATAAATGAGTATGCTAAATGAAGTTCCAACAATCATATCATGTACCTCAGCATAAAAGTAAATCAGTGTTTCTTTTAAAAGAAATCTGGCCAAAAGTTAACCTGGGCATTGGTAGAGAAACAGCCAAGATAGGGACTATTCTGAGGAACTGAAAATAATTTACATTACTTAAGGCTTAACATGTTTTTGGCATTTTCAAGACAAGCTTTTGCTTTTTTCACAGGAATAAATAATCTGTTTTTATTGGACTAGTATATTTATGGTATAAATTTATATCCATTCGACAATTTATTGGGAAAAAGAAAAAGGTAGCTCTAAGGTAAAAGAAACTGGAAGACAACGAAGTTGACCTTGAGTAAACTAATCAAAGGTGACAGAAACTGAAATTGACAATGATCGTAAAAATTTACTCAAAAAATAGCATGGCATGGTCTTTATATGCACTGTGCCATTACTCCTCACAAAAAACTTTGAAAGGTATCATCATTATCCTGATTTCGTAGATGAGAACATGTGGCTCACAAAGGTTCAATAACTTATACAAGGTTGTCGTGTTGTTAGGTGCAGCAGAGGCGGTTCCAACTCATAGCAACCCTACACAAGGTAGGTAGAAAAGATGTGGGGAAGTCTTGGTTCAAATTTAGATCTATGCATTGTCTTGCCAAAGCTCCCGCTCAATACAAGTAGCTCAGGAAACAGATTGAGGAGCTTTTTGTTCTTAAAATGGATGCTACAGCTAACTCTCTGATGGCCAAGATTCACAAAGAAGCCAGTAACTGAGTGCTATGGAATTTCAGAGAAGGAAGAAATTACCCTAGGCTAAGGTAGTCATGTGTGAGAGAAGAAAAAAAAAAGCAGATATTAGAAAAATGAGAAGAATCCAGTTAGAAAAGGAACTGGGTATTCTCCATGGAGAGAATGGTTCGATCCAAGGGCAATTGTGAACATAGGCACTACAATGTCCAGGGTGAATTTTTACAGGATCAGAGTCACTCTGGCTTGAGCAGATTTAGTAGGGTGGGTGCAGATTTAGTAGGAGAGGGAGATGCACACCTGGCTCAGTCAGAATGTTAGCAGCAGCAGTCAGAGCGTCTAAAGAAACTGGATATTATGCGACTCAATAAAAGTCACTGCTTTCTAAGGGCGGGATCTACAGCTTCTTCTTCTGCTATATTCTTACTGCCTATAACACAAAGCTGTTTTTTGCATAAACTAAATGCTTTTGAAGCAGGTAGTGACTGGATGAAAGAAAAGTGCTTTACGAAAACAAATCTGGCATCTCTGTTAAAAAAAAAATCTAATGAGAATATAGATGCAACATCATCTGCAATGCTCAGAGGCAGCAAAGTGTGGCTGTACAGCATTGGGGAAGCAAGAAGCCCAAAGGTCTTTTCCGTCTTATAGCACAACATGGCAGCTGATCATGCCAACCCCTATTTTATGAACAGATGAACTGCATTCCCAATTATTCCATCAGGTTTTCTGGAGTTTGGTATGGTTTGCTTTATTTTGTTTTGTTTTGGAAAGTGTCTACAAAGATATTTTAATAGATTACATTTTTATATGAAAGAATGCCATTATTGGAGAAGAAATGCTTAAGGCATTCTTCAGAGACAAAGCAAAATGCAAAGTTGGAGAGGATATTGGCAGCAAACTTTACCATAGTGGTTGGGGATCAACCATTCAGAGTGCACTTTTAGAGTTAGCGCAAAGCAGTAAAATTACAGGAACCACAGATGTTTCCCATGGCACTGAAGAGCATCTGCTGAGTTCTGGTACTTTTTGTATTTGAGTACCGAAGGCAACCCAGATTGTCCCTTACTTCCATAGGCAGCATTCTGGATGGTAAGGGGAGCTCTGGCCCTCTTGAAATGAGACTCATCTTCATTTACTCTTTATCTAAATGAAGAGCCATCACTATGTGTTTGTTCAGAAGCTTCTATGTTCCACTGATGCTTTGTGGAATTTAATCTAAGGTTAAGGATTGTGGGTTCCATGAGTGAGGAACCAATCTCCCTACAAAGTCTCTTCAGCTAGGATTTATCTAAAACAGCTTAGGCAGGATCTGGGGACAATAGCACCTACAATTTCAATTTGGTATTAGAGAATTTTATTTTTATAAGTAAGAAACAGAATAAATTATACATGAAAACTAGCTGAGGACAGTAGACATTTTGCAATTACTACTCAACTTATATGACAAAGCTAAACGAAGTCTTGCAATACATGGTAAATACAAAATACATTCTCCTCTTTGATTGTAACATATTAGTTCTACCACCGAAAACCCTTTGTCATCAAATCGATTCCAACTCATGGCGACCCTACAGGACATAGTGGAACTCCGCAATCTTTATGGAAACAGACTGCTGCATCTATCTCCTGCAGAGCAGCTGGTGGGTTTGAAACACCAACCTTTTGGTTAGCAGCCAAGTGCTTAACCACTGCTCCTTATTAGTTCTATATTACTAGTCACATATTAGGTAAGCAGGTCGTGTTCCCTTATCATTAAGAAGTATGCAGATTATAGGGAAAGGAAAACCAGAAGAGAGATATTTAACACTTAAGAAGTAAAAAAAAAAAAAAAAGTAAATAGGTGTTTCTGTGTACATAGGCTACTGCTGAGAGCTTTCCTTCTACTGATTTTAACTGATCTAGCAATAAAAAATACTGAGTATTCCTTCATAGTTTCTTTCATGAACTTCCCCAGCATTCCCTGACAACTTCCACCAACACTTTTATCTCCTTTTTGTAGCACCTATAGCACTTAATGTCTTACTCACATATCAGGGTCTTGTGCAATTCGCTTAATACATTCTAGTATAAGCTCTTTTTCTATTTTGTAGCTCCGTATGTAATTGACCCATAACAGAATAGTCTTACCCATTCTAAATACTGCAAATTACTTTATATTCTACCTTACTATTTTCTCCCTCCCACGCGGGCTAATTTCTAGCAGTTGATTAATGAATAATTGCAGAAACAAATACATTATATTTTAACAGTATTTTACCATTTTTAAAGGTAGTTAACATGTCTTATTTCTCTAATGCTTACAACATACCCAAACAACTATTATATTCATTTTATAAAAGTAAAAACTAAGGCTCAATGAAATTTACTTATTTTCTCATGTCTAAAAATCCAATAAGCAGCTAAAGATTCTGAAACTCCAAACCTATACACATGTTACTGCAAACATATTAACTGACTTGGAATTTGGGAAAAAAATTATGCATATGAAGAAAATATTTTAAAATCCCACTAAACCACCATCGTACTCTTTATAGCACACTGGTTAGCATCTCATTTCTCTTTTTACCTCAAAGCTTGTAAAATCTCATTTTTCAAGCATAAATGAAGAGGACATAAAGAAGAATTCCTCCACTACTGGAAGTCCCCCTTCCAAAATGTATTCTTAATTATGGTAGAAGGGTGACATATAGACTTGGATTCCCGGAATATCTTTACTAAGAAGATTAAAAGCCACCTGTTTTAAGGATTTAGAGGTAATACGATTGTAAGATAGCAAATGGCATTCCCAAAGAGTGGTCAATTGTAGCTATCGCTATACTTTTACAATAAAATTCAGGCAACTTGAGTAGGTACTACACGGGGATCCTATACTGTTCTGACCAGGCGTGAGATACAGAGGCGGCTATGAACACCCCACAACACTGAAGCTACCTGAAGATTTCTCCATTCATACCTTGCTAGCGAAGATAAAAAGAAAGCAACTAAAATCCCTTTCATGTACAAGCACTCATAAAAACTGCAGGGCCATGATTTTAATACCTCTACAATTTATACTTAGAAGCCTACATTTTTCCACCTTTACCTATACATTCATAAAGTACAAGTTTAAAATCAAAACCATTTACACTGAGAAGACGCAGAGGCTGAAAACTGTGGCTTCATAAACAGTTGTCTTCTTTGACAAGAAAAAACATCTGTCTCACTTTTGCTAGTGGAAAAAACAGGGTTGGAGCCTACCATGGCTAATTTAGAATACAAGTTAATTCTTGAAAAAGTGCCTGCCCTGTTTATTACAAGCTAAGCAATATTGAATTCCTGATAGTTAATCTCAGCATAAAGGGCCTTTTACTCCTACATTCCAAACCAATGTAAAAGCTAAGGAAAATGTTTTCTGCCCTAGCATTTACAGTCCATCAAAAAACAATCACTTTTAAAGGCTAATCTGATATTTCAAACTTTATAAAGATATGTACTTACAATATTTGAATTTGTCACTGAAATCTTAAATCTGATATGTACCTTAAGAACTAGAGGCATTAAAAAAAAAAAAAAAAAAAAAAAACCTATACATAAGACACCAGATTAAAGATTTAACAGGAAAACAAATACAGAAAATTTTGTTTTTCTTCTTCTTTTTTTTTTAAATCTTTAAGGAGGCTACACATATAATCATAAAGGTATTCGTGAAAAAGATGTAAGAACCATATTCACACAGAGGAACAGGCATAATTTAGTGGACTCATTCTTAAACTTTTAGCACTTAATGAAAATGGTTGTCTAAATAAGTGCTCTGCCGCTAACCAAAAGGTTGGAGGTTCAAACCCACCAGCTGCTCAGCGGGACAAAGCTGTGTCAGTCTGCTTCCATAAGGATTACAGCCTTGGAAACCCTATGGGGCAGTTCTACTCTGTCCTATAGGGTCGCTATGAGTCAGAATCGACTCGAAGGCAACAGGTTTTTATTTTTTGGTTTTGTTGTCTAAAAGCTCCAGGTTACAAGTATCTCTAACAAGGAAGTATTATCTGCCCTTTCCATAAAAAAATAGATTACATTCCGAATTTCCAAAACACAGCCAGGGAAACTGAAAATGGGAGTTACTGAAGTAATCTGGCAAAAGACGGGAAAAACACAGCACAAATACCTTCTAATCATTTCTGTAGAATTCACAAGATTAACCACAAAGTTTGAACAATAAATTCAATATTAACTTCAGTTTAAAAACAACTTCTAAATGAGAATCGCGTCAAATAGCTTCTGGAAACAATTAAAAATCTATTGTTATAAGCTCTCAATAGCATAAAAATACATAGAGCTTTCACCATTTCTTTCTCATACTTCATTTAATGTAAGATGACTTTAAAAGAGAGAATAACTCTAAAAATATATGAAATTCTTTTAAAATACATACTTACAGATTTTTAATATCAACTGCCCCACGGAAAGCCTTCCTTGGAATTGCTTGAATTTGGTTTTCACTGAGATCGCTAAAACAACAAAAAAGAAAAAAAAGTTAAAAAATACTATTTAAAAATCATGCATAAGCAAGCAATGTGTTTAAGAGATAGGACACTACAAAAAAATCTAAAAGGCTTATAACTGAGTATATAGCATTAAATGCAATTTCTAATGAAAATTTTTGTATTTCTAATATAAATTAAAGGTTGCACTAAATCGTTTCCTAAAGTACTTTTCCAGATTTCTGATTCCATAATAAAATAAGAAAGATGGTTCTTTTAAATTTAAGAGCTGATCAAATTCTGTATAATAAAACAATTCTTGAAAACAGAATTATAACTCAATTTCAAAAGGCTCTAAAGTTTTAGCACTTGATGTTTCTCCAAGCTTACAGACATAACTTATGAAGTATATAGGAAAGTTGTCCACTTTAACTTCCTAGAGAAGAGTGGGTAAAAGCTGATAAAACCTGAGCAGTGTGATTAAATTTTCATAGCACTTTAAGTAATTTTGAAAATGGAACATGGTAGTACCAGTCCAACAATAAAACCAACAGTTTCTCCATGAAATATTAAAAGCAGATTGATTTAAACTCTTCTATAAATAATTCCATTATAACCATAAACACAGAATGTCTATTTTTTGCATTTTAATTTAATTCAGAAATACATTTTAATCAAGGGAGGAAAAAAGCACTCTTCAAGTTGGAATCAGAGGTTTGTAAAAATCGCTCCTCTCACGAAATGGATCATTATTTTTCCTTCAAAGAGTGCAGATGCAACTCTTTGAGCTCACGTACTATTATTAGCCTTAACAAGTTGGATATAAACGCGCATGCAAGAAATGCATTGAAAATGAACACGCTCATGTAATTTTAAGCAACACCACCACATGCCGAAAGCTGAAATATCAAATAAATAAAATATTAAAGGAACAATGATGATACTGAAATTATCTTTTTCAAAGGTAACCAATGCTTCACAAAGAAAGATGAAACCACTGACCACAGTCGCAAAGCAGGTGAAAATAGAGCCATTTTCCAATTATGTGGAGGGATACTGGACGGATTCATCCACATGCTCTCCCCCAATGCCGCTTATGACCAGCGCTTGGTGTTCACACGCTTGTGGCCACGCAACAGAGAGAGATAATTGGCAGGCACAGAGATTGAGTGTGTGGTTTTGACCTTCTTACCACCAAGTTGTAAGCAACTGAGATTTGCATTTTTATCTTAATATTGCAATGTTCAAATAATTAAAAAAAAAGTTTGCTAAGCAATTTGTAAAGAAAAATATGTTAATACATTTAATAGGTGAAGGTCTTTAGCAAAAAATATATTTTATTTCAAACAGTAAATTCTACAAAATATGTTATCTAGCTGTTCAGGCTTCCATCCATTTTCCTAAGAGATGCAGCTCCGTTATTGCTGTCAGTTTTCACATATCTTTAACAGTAATAAAACTCCATTTCCTTAAAAATTGCTTATTTCTCTGACTTGCCATTGATTCAGAACTCTTCCTTCCTTTGTTTAATTACACCAGGTTAACAATATTTAACATATATATTGAAAAACCTTGATGCTTGAAACTGTGTTCAAGAAGACTACAGAGAAAGAAGGCAGAAAGAAAAACCCAAAAATATTAAAAAATGAGGAGGCAGAAAAGATTAAATTTTAACAAATCTTAAAAGTATAACAAACACCCCCTGAAAACCAACAGGAGTGCTTTTACTGCTGTGTTCCTGCCAATCGTTTTCTAATGGCTTCCCTTTTTTTTTTTTTTTTCACACTTTTCCAAAGACAAAGACTGCTTCTAGGTGAATGACAATGGCAGAGAGGAGTATGCTTCAGATTTTCCGGCTTCTCAGGCTCTGCAGCCTTCCTATCCTGACAGCTGGGCAACCCCTTCCTGCTCCTCCCCCACCCACAGAGTCTCACTTCTGCTCAGTCTCTAGGGTCATGTTTTCAAATAGCAATGGGTGGCAGAGGAGTCAGTGTCACCAGTTTAGGTGGTTCGGAGAGGCACCACTGAAGACCACTGAGACACAGTCAGAAGCTATTCTTTTTTAATTTGATTTTAGTTCTTTGTTTCTCTTAAGCAGAATGTTAGGGGGTAGAACGGTTTTACCTGCTAATGCTCACTGTTGTTGTAGGGTGCCATCCAGTTGATTCTGACTCACAGTGACCCCATGTGACAGAGAAGAACTGCCCCATAAGGTTTTCTTGGCTGTAATCTTTACTGAAGCAGATAGCCCGGTCTTTCTCCTGCAGAGCTGCTGTGTGGGTTCAAACTACCAACCTTTCTTTTGATAATCGCTTCTTTTTTACAAATGAGTGAACAACCTTCAGGGTCAGAGGCTCCTTATTACCCCAAGGTCAATGGTTTACCATGGGCCACCATCCCCTGAGTGCTCCCCAGTCCACTGCGTGGTGGGGCCTCTGCTCTAGAGTTCAGCCCACTCCAGGAGGGTACTTTACTTATGGATTCCAGTTAAGTGGGCCATGTTCACCAATGCAGGAAGAAGAAACTAACATGTTTTCAATTATTGCATGCAATAACTGATTTTAGAAAGAATATATTATCATATTTAATCTGTATTTCATTTAAACTTCATAACTATCTTGTGAGGTAGGTATTACATATCCTGGTTTTACAGGAAAGGAAACTGAGCTTTGGAAACGTCAAGTATTAGCGCTTAACAGTGAGACAAATTGTTAACGGGAATGTACAGAAAACACAATGGAGTCAAGGTCTGGGGATGTATAAAGATATACCAGAAGATACATAGTCAGTCTCAATATGTCCTTCCTGTGGCCTAGTCTTTAGAAGGCTTTTTCTTAATTCATCCTACCCCTCTGTCTCATGTCATTTACAAAACGATGGCTTAGACTGTGTTCAAACAATGATTCATATTTTCTACATATGATCAAGTGGAGGACTTAGCTCAATAATTCTCAGCTTCCAATATTGGGAAATCATTTCAGAAGGTAACATATAATCAGGAACTGATGGTACTGAAGGAAGAAGTCCAAGCTGGCGTTGGTGAAAAACAAGGCTCCGGGACTATGATAAATGAAGGCAGGGATTTTAATCCATCCTGTTTCTACCAAGAAGTCCCTGGGTGGTGCAAATTGTTAATGTGCTGGGCTACTAACTGAAAGGTTGAAGGTTCAAGTCTATTCAGAGGCACCTCAGAAGAAAGGCACGGCAATCTTCTTCCAAAAAATCAGCCACTGAAAACTCTACGGGGCACAGTAGTACTTTGACACACATGGGGTCGCCATGAGTTAGAATCAACTGAATGGAAACTGGTTTTTAACCTGTGGGTCCTACAGAATTCCTGGGATATATATAACAAGCTTTCGGAGCCCTGGTGGTGTAATGGTTAAGAGCTCGGCTGCTAACCAAAAGGTTGGCAGTTCGAATCCACCAGCTGCTCCTTGGAAACCCTACGGGGCAGTTCTCCTCTGTCCTATAGGGTCGCTATGAGTCGGAATTGACTCAACAGCAACCAGTTTAGTTAATTTTTTTTTTTTGGAATAGGCTTTCAGCAAACATCTGTACATGGGAGGCAGGGGGGTAAAAACAGGTTTTGAAGAAAAACCTTTCAAAACATAGGATTTGCTGGATGTACATGGGCAAGGGAGAAAGCTGTTAAGTATAATCGGTGGTTTGGAGGCCTGCAAGTAACAAAACCTAGCATTTAGATACAAATAGGGGAAATAAGAAAAGAAAACTAGACTTCTGGGGGGAGTTTCAGAAAGGCAAACAGAAATGGCTCAAAATGTTGGAGATGTGAGAGTAAAGCTCCATAAAGAATCAGAAAGAGAAATACAGATTAATGAGTTTTTGTACCATGGTGAGAACTGAACTACATACACTGCATATATAAATCTCTTTTCAGGTGGAATTCACCAACAAATTTCCAGTCTGCAGGTTATTCTCTCCAAGAACCAGTGCTCACTGTACTCAACATATTTTTTTAAAATATTTAGTCTATTTTTCTTTTTGTTATTGTAGTTCAGGTGAAGGTTTACAAAACAAATAGTTTCTCATTAAACAGTAGTACACATATTTGTTCTATGACATTGGTTAACAACCCCACTACATGTCAACCCTCTCCCTTCTTGTACTCAATATTTTAACATTTGAAAGTGGGAAAGTCAACTGTGTTGTTCTCCTACCTTCACTCCTATTCACTCATTTACAGATTCAAAAGCATTTATTGGCTGCATAAAATTCGACATAATTATTGCTTTGTGATAGTTCTTTGGTTGTTTTCTTATGGTATGTTCTTACCACTAACCTGAACATTGCTTCTTAAAGAGAAGGCTGTCTCTTCTCGATATGTAATTTCTCTTCAAGTTGTTAATAGAGTATTACACAGATTAGAGGAGTCCTTGGTGGGGGGGATGTAAATAATTAAGTTCTTGACTACTAACTGACAGGTTATTGGGTTCGAACTCACCCAAAGCCACCTCGGAAGAAAGGCCCAGTGTCTGTTTCCAAAAAGTCATAGTCTTAAAAACCCTGTGGAGCACACAGTTCTACTCTATAGCACATGGGGTCACCATGAGTTGGAATCAACTCAACAGCAACTGGTTTTGATTTTGGAAGCTAGATTACGCACTTTTACTATTTCTTGTCAGATATATGAACGAGCTCTTTTTAGGGATTCCTGGGCCTCTTCCTCCACTGAAAATTGTTTTCCATCACTAGGCACCCAAGGAGCCCTGGTGGCACGATGGTTAAAACGCTGGGCTGCTAACCAAAAGATCAGCAGTTTGAATCCACCAGCTGCTCCTTGGAAACCCTATGAGGCAGTTCTACTCTGTCCTATAGGGTCCCTATGAATTGGAATCGACTCAATGGCAATGGGTTTGGTTTTTAGGCACCTGAAGCAACTTTCATCACTCAGCGACTAAAGCTTTATTGCACACAGCAGGGAAAATGGAGAGAAGGTTTTCTTCTGATCTCTAACAGGCTTTGGTATCAGTGCTTTCCTGGCCTTAATAGAAAGCTTCATCAGG